CCACCCAACCCCTCCTCCTCTATCCTCCGCGACATGAACCCAATCATCTCGTCCCGCTCCCCCACCTCCTTCTCCGCACGCGCCACGCAATCCTCCAGCTCTGCCACGCGCCCCCTAAGGCGCGCGATCTCCTCCGCCGCCGCCTCGATCTGCTGCAACAGGCGCTTCTCCTCCGCCTGCCACGCGTTCCGGTGCGACGCGAAGATCTCCACCACTCGAGCGTTCGCCTTCGAGTCCTCCTGCCGCCGCGACTTCATCTGGCGCAGCTCCTCCGCCGCCTCCACCGCCCGCAGCGACAGCATGCGCACCTTCCCCTGAAGCGCCGGTACCGAGTTGTTTGCCAGCGTGGCCAGAAACATGGAGAAGCTGAGCCCTAAATACGAACGCAACATCTTGTGATAGTCTTCTTCTTGCTGCTGTTGTTTCTCTTTAGCCATTGCGACGAGGGCTTGGGTCTTCCTCTTGGACTTCGTCTCCGTGAGCAGCCTCTGTTCGTACGGGAAAAGGAGAAGAAGCAGAGTAATGGCGTTGGTGGTTTTGGTTGTGTGGACTTTTAGAACTCAGCAAAAGGGAAACAGTGCCTTTTTGTCCTTTCTTTCTCTTCATGTGCCTGCCTTTGTCTTTTGATGCTTATTTAACCATCATCAATTTTAAAAAATATATATATTTTATAAAATAATTCTACATGTACTATTATAATAGAATAATTAATTTTTAAGAAATAATTAGTAATTGTGTAATTGTTTCTTATTTTCTTTGTTGGTCGATGTCAATCAATGATTGATCTTTTTGGTTTCTTGATTAATCTTAAAAAGTGTGATGTGGCCAAGTGTATAAATAAGGTTGTCGATTTACCTTTTACTGTTTTGAAGTGTTGCAGAAAGAAATGTGGGTCTATCATCTCTGCCAATGCGTCTACAGTGTTGGTATCTTCAGAAAATGAAAACGACAATGGGTAATTTTAAATAAGAGTAAAATTTGAAAAATATGAAAATTAGTAGAGAAAAGTTAAAAAAAGGCAGCTAAGAAATTTTGTTACAGTGTTCTTGAGAAGTGATGTGAGTAATAAAATGTAAAAGAAAAAATTACTGAGAATTGAAAGAGCAAAAGCAACGGGAAGGATGAAACACGATGTTCAGAAAAAATGATTAGTGGTTGATCTGGTTGTGGCAAATAAAGGGGTGATGATTGTACCTTTAGGTCTTGAATAGAAAGTATATGCAAAAGCACATGGAAAAGGAAGATAGCCAAAAAGCAGAAAGAAAAAGTGAGGGAACAACTACATGACAAGTCCACAGCTATAAAGACTACAAATACTTGCTCGATTCGTCTTATCAAGCACACAAATAAATCACATATATTCGGTTCTTTCAGTATTAGAGGAGTTATGTTATTCAAACTTTTAAATTAGGCACATAAGTATCTACTACTTTTTTTATATTATTAAAATATTTTTAATTTACTAAGTCATTTAAAAAACTTATTATTGTTATAACATACAATCAAATATCTAAAAGTAAAAGTATACTTTATAAATAAAAATTGAATATTTTATCATTAAAATTTTAAATTATAAATAAAAAATTGTTGCATGAAGCCTTCAATCTTTGATTGATACATAGATGCAATGGAGTTGAAGAGGCTCTTTCAAAAAGATGCCCAAGGTGGCAGTTATGAAAATAAATTCATTTATTTTTAAAATAATTATTCAGCACAGTATATTAATTAATTCATACATTCCAACTTTTTTTCAATCTATTTTGCAATTCTAGAGTTCACTGATTTCTAATACTGCTATTTTCCTTTCTAATTGACATAACTTACATGTTTTCATTATTTATCGTACACGGTTACAACCAAGCATGGAAAACAAATTAATTTTAAATTTGTATGTCTTATTTATTTTTCATTATAATCCAATATAATCTTAAATCTGTCATATTCATTAAAGTAAGAAATCATTTATTTAATTAAAATGTAAAATATAAAATATATCAATATATAGAGAGAATCTAAAATAGGATAAACATATGTAAAGATGAAAATAACAATATTAGGTCTGAGTAATTATATATTTTTTAAAACTTATAAAAAATTTCTTGAGAATGTTTTTCAAATGGACAAAATATATTTACAAAACTTTGTAAGAATTTCTTGTGAATTTTTAATTCTACTTATTATTCATGAAGCAAGTATTTATCTATCAAACAAAATTCGTAGAAAAAATAGTAGGAAACATTTTTCTTTACAGATTTTTGTAAGAAATTTGCAGAAAAAATTCCATAAAATATAAAAAATTATAATAGTGTATGAAATATAAAATTATGTGAGTGATCAATGCATATACATTAAATAACGTATTATTTTACTCATTAAAATAATTTTCAAATAAATATAAAATATAAGATTAGTTTTGTAGTAATACATATATTTTAAAACAATTTATTATGTTTAAATGATTATATATGTGAGAGCAGACATATTTAAAGAAAATTGGAACGGGATAAGTGTATGCACTGGATTGAACCGTCTAGTTTTGAGAGTAGTATATAAATGAAAGTTTCAAATTTCGTCTTATTCTCTGCATACACATTCTCTCTCCAAAATTCTGATCTTCTCTTTTTTCCTCCTTCTCTCTAAAAATCTTCATCAGTTAATCTGTTCTTCGTTCAGGAGGAGTTTAAGAGATCCTTGAGCTGAAGGATTTCTTGTCAACCAGTTAATTCAGTTATTTGAGTCAGTAAGTTTCACATTTTCTTCTTAGTGTTTCGGTTTTCTGGTGCATGCAAGGGAAATTTCGTTGCATGTGTTTATCAGCTTCTTCTTCTCAATTCTGATCATGTTCTTGGTCTTTTGGTTGATCCTTTCTTTTAAATCGATGATCTTTAGGTGTTTTTAGATTTTCTTGAAGTTCAAACAATTTCCTGAAGGTGTAAAAGCTTTTTGTTCGGTCAAAGAGGTAAGGGAATCTAGTTAATTTAATTGTGATTTTCTATGTGTGAAATTACTGTTTGGATGGTTTCATGTGGGTAACTTGAATGTTTGATTAAATTGTGTTGAATCTGTGATGCTGGAACTTGTGAATTAGTTGGAGTTTCTCTGCATAAGTGTTCGGTCTGTTCTAATCTTAATAAAGTGGGTATGTGAATACGATAGTTTGGGGTTGGTAGTAAAATTTGGTATGAGACTCTTTGGGATGATGTTAGAACGATTTTAGGTACCTTTGGATAGGCTTAAAATGGTATATGAATCATGTTTGGAGGATTAGAAGTTGGGAAGTGGTAGAAATTGGTGAAGATAGTGGTTAATCATAATTCTGCTGCTATTATGCAAAATTATGTAGATTGTCGAGTGTCATTCATTGACCGTTTGACTTTCTTCTTGTGTTCGGTCTTAACTGAGTTCTACTTCTGTAGAGCTTTTCAGTTAATGATCGATCGGTCTTGTACTAAGTATTCTGTTTTAGTCATAGCGATCGTTCTTAGTGAGGTGTGTGGTCTCTTAGTAGCGATCGGTCTTAGTGGGTTGTGGGATCTCTTAGTAGCGATCGATCTTAGTGGGTGTATGGTCTCTTAGTAGCGATCGGTCTTAGTGGATTGTGGGATCTCTTAGTAGCGATCGATCTTAGTGGGTTGTGTGTTCTCTTAGTAGCGATCGGTCTTAGTGGATTGTGTGGTCTCTTAGTAGCGCTCGTTCTTATACTAGTGCTCGACCTTGTACTTGTATTCGGTCTTAAATGTGTTCGGCCTAAGTTATAGGTGTTCGACCTAAGCCATAAGCGTTGGGTCTAAACTTAGTATTTGGACTAGTGGTAGTATTCGGTCATGATGTGGTACTCAGAATCCTCTAGTTGTCGGTCATTAATAGCGCTCGATTTTCTCTTCAGCTTATCTATTATTGATCATTCGGTCTCCAACATTCACAAGGTGTTCGGTCTTGTTCTTCTATGTTGGTGATTTCTGTTTGGCCTATATTCATAGTTATTCCAGTGTGTTGTATTAATTAATTGATCCAATTGTTTTGATGGCTTATGTATGTATTATCATAATGGTGTAAAATGGAAAAGTATGGTATGATAATTGTAATATGGATGTGAAAGAGAATTGCAAGGAGGAATGTCTCAGTGATTTGGTATCAAGGTGGTGGTAAAGTATGAATATGGACAGCGAATCCATGGCGTTCATATTGACATTCTAATGATTACCAAGTCTCAAGTAGAGATGGGTAAGTCATGTCGTGAGAATAGCAGGAGGTCCTATCCTATAGGGTCTTAGGTGAGTTATAACGGATTAACCCCGAGTGGCAGTTGATGGTTTTCCAGTTATTATACACCCGAGTGCACGAACGACCCAAGTTACATATTCATACAATCCGGATGGTTAAGTCAAGTGGTCGGTCATTGCATGATTATAAGTGTTGGATGTTACATGATTATGTATTTGTTGAACTTGCATGATAACTATAATCAATTAAATTACTCTAGCTTACCCTTCATTTCTATCTTGTTCATGTTTTTCGTTCGGTACTCTCCATTTGCGATGATCACCTTGTGGGTGTGAACAGAGGGAGGTGAGTGTTCGTTGGAGGAAGCGCTGGACGGCGAGGACCTAGTGGTGTAGTCTATGACCGTTCGGTCATATATATATATATATATATATATATATATATTTAAATACCTACATTCTAACTTTTATTTATTAAAATGAATTTTAAGTAATAAGATATAAATATACGATGGCGCGATCATACAAATATTTAAATGATTACATTTTTAAACTCGTTATGGTTAAATAGTTCATAGAATATGAAATACTCAAAATATTTATATACAATGTATATATAAGAGAAGACCACACAATAGTATTTAAAAGTTCTATGAGAAAAATATTATTTAGAGAATTTTAAGTAGATGACACCATTCTTTATATTTAATCAAACAGTCAGCGGATAAAAGTAAATAAACTAACTTACAACATTAATATTCAACGTATATAAAATGATAACGAAATAATCTACCCAATAACTTTTTCCCATAATGTAATGGCCAACCCGTATAAAATTTTGGACAGTGGATGTATTAAAATATTATGCCAATTAATAATCATATCAGGAACATCAAATAAAATCAAAAAAATAATTTTTAATACGATGCCAAAGCACCAACTAAATTTTAACTTTCTCTAAAATTAAGTTTGACTGATACTACTAAATCTAGCATAAGGTGAGCATCAGTCAGATTAAATGGATGAACAATTTAATATATTTAATAATGATTATATAACAAATTATGATTTTATATAATTTATTATTAAATAACAAAACAATATGATTTTAAAAATAAAATTTAAAATATAAAAAGTATTTATAAAATTTCAACCTGTTATTCAAACCATAGTTATTCATTTTACTTAATTTTATTTATTCAATATTAATCACTTAT